CTGGCTGGCATGTGGTGCTAGGGGATTGAACCGCGGTCCCTGTGATTTGCTAAGCTTGTTCTAAGTAGGTGCTTTAGACCACTGAGCCATCTCACCAGCCCCAGTGCTTAAATTTAAACATAGAAGATGGAAGTATTGAGTTTTTATATTACATGGTTCTAAATCTGCTGCTCACATCATGGTAGTCAGAAACAGAAGGAGGGAGATAGGCAGCAGATACACATAGTATACCCTTCCTTGTGAGGCCAACAAGGATCCACCTCTAACCAGGCACAGCTCCTAACAAACCCTTAGCTACTGAGTTTGATGGGTGCCTTCACGATGACTGGAGTACCCCTGTGATCTAATCACCTTCCAAAAGCTCTTCCTCTGAGTGTGAGAGAGTTTGGGGGGAACATTCTAGATCTAAACCTTAGCATCATTTTCCTAGAATTGGACATTAAAGATAGAGCAAATATTTTGCTAAAAAGATAACATGTATAACCTTGTGCATTTTTTTTTATTTTTTTGTCTGTTTGTTTTTTAACTGTTGGAGGTATAGTTTTACAGGAAATTTCTGGAGTACAGATTTCTGGGTCAAAAATAAAAGGTTTCATGAGAAATTTCCAAATTTTTGTCAGTATTGTATGAGAGTCTTTTTCCACAGTATTACCAGTTGAATGTGTTGTTACATTTTTAGGTGTTTGACAGTCTGAAATGGTAGGTTTTATTTCTTTTTTCATAACAGATTGAACATCTTTTCATATTCCCTTTTTTTGGCGGATCTGGGGATGGAACTCAGGCCCTTGCCCTTGCCAGGGAAGCACTCATTCTACTGAGCCATCTCCCTGACCCCTTTTCATATTCATAAGGATCATTTTTCTCTTTCTGTAGTTTTCTCCCTGTATATTTGGAGTTTTTGATCTTTTTTCTTTCAAATTTTAAGTTGAAATTTACTAACTAGTAAATTTTAAGTTATTTACTAACTGATATATAAGGCCATTTTTAAAATGTATTTGGCACAGGGTCTCATACACAGCTCATACTCCTCCTATATTCAGCCTCCCCAGCACTGGGATTACAGGCATAAGCCGCCATGCCAGGTCTTGGTCAGCACTCCCTGGGGGTGGAGCTGGAGCAGCATATGGTCCCTGTGTTTGCCTAAACAGGCACTTAGTCCTCTGAGCTATCTCGCCAGCCCAAGTCCATGTTTTTCATAACTTTTATTGTTATTTTATTTTATTTATTTTTGCGGAACCAGGGGTTGAACTCAGGCCCTTGCGCTTGCCAGGGAAGCGCTTATTCCACTGAGCCATCTCCCCAGCCCTTTCATAGCTTTTAAATTACCTTTTGGAGGGGCCGGGAGATAGCTCAATAGAATAAGTGCTTGCCTAGCAAGAGCAAGAGCCTGAGTTCAATCCCTGGTTCTATAAAACAAAACAAAACAAAAACTTTTGGGTTTGTGTGTGTAATTCATGGTAGTCTTAACTTTTTTCTTTTATGTGGTCAAATATGTTCTCTTTATTGTATCTTTCTCTTATTCAGGACATAGAAATTTTTTCTAATATACAGAAATGGCAGAATTCATTCTTTTCTTTTTGTGGTACTGGGGTTTGAACCCAAGGACTTCACACTGAGCTACATCCCCAGCTCTTGTTTTTTTTTTTTTTTTTTTTTTTTTTTTTTTTGTGTGTGTGTGTGTGTGTGTGTGTGTGTGTGTGTGTGTGTGTGTGGCCAGCTCAGCCCACCAGGGGGCGGGGCTGGCTGGCATGTGGTGCTGGGGGATTGAACCGTGGTCCCCGTGCTTTGCTAAGCTTGTTCTAAGTAGGTGCTTTAGACTACTGAGCCATCTCACCAGCCTCTTGTTTTTTGAGACAAGTTCTCACAAATTGCTACATTGTTCAAGCTAGTCTTAGATTTGTGCTACTCCTACCTTAACCTCCCATGATTTTGTTTCCTATTATTCTTGTTTGTTTTTAATATATAGATCTTTTATATATTTAGATTTATTATTATAGGTATGGATCTACTCTTTATTTTTTCTTTTCTATTTTTTAAAATTTGAATTCATTTTAGATTTATTAAAAGTTACAGAAATAGCACAGAGAATTCTTTTATATATCTTACTCTACATCCCCTAATTATATTTCTTTACTTAACTGTAGTACAGTTACCACAAGTAAGAAATAACATTAGAACTACTGCTGTTAACTGAAATTTGGTTCTTATTCAGAATTTACCAGTTGTTCTTCTGATGTCTTTTCCTATCCCAGGATTCTGTAGAGATTTCCCCATTGAATTTAATTGTTCTCCAATTACTGTCTCAATTTCTAATCAGCTTTTATCATATATTAAAAAGTCCTTTTTTGTCTCAGTAATTTGATTTTTATATCAAATTATTTCTTATTTTCAAAAGTCTTTTAAACTTTTAGATTAACAGTAAAGTTACAAAAAACATGAAGTTCTTTTATTTTTCTCATACTACTTCTGTTGTTTTATTTTGTTTTTTTCAGATAGTGTCTTTACTCTATAGTGAAGTCTGGCTGGCCTTGAACTCATGGAAGTCCTCCTGCCCCAGCCTACCTAGTGCTGAGATGATGGTTGTATGCCATCACACCCAGCTTACTACTGAACTTTCTGTAATCAAAATCAACATATCAGGGGCCAGGGAGATGGCTCAGTGGAATAAGCGCTTCCCTGGCAAATGCAAGGGCCTGAGTTCAATCCCCGGTTTTGCCAAAAACAAAACAAAACAAAACAAAACAAAAATTTTTTAAAATACCCAAAAACTTGGGACCAGGGAGATGGCTCAGTGGAATAAGCGCTTCCCTGGCAAGTGCAAGGGCCTGAGTTCAATCCCCAGTTCCACCAAAAAAAAAAAAAAAATCAAAATCAACATATCAATATTGATATAGTACTAGTAGACTGCAGGTCTTATTTAAAACTCATCAGTTTTTCC